GAGATTTGACAGTCATCCTGTTGTATCAGGAAGGGAACATGAGATTCTGAGACATTTGAAATCTGTCTCACAAGGACAAGTTAACGAGATTGGGACTAGTCAGAAAGAGAAGAGAAGATTTCAAGGGATTATCACATCTCAGCCTCAAATATTCCAAGAACTGGAAAATAGAACAGAGGGTCAGTTTTTTGTTGTTGTTCTGGGGGTGCACCTGGCAGTGTCCAGCGCTTACTCCTGGCTTTGCTCAGGGATCACTCCTGGTGGGTTCCGGGGACCATATGGGCTGCTGGAGATTAACCCCATGTTGGCAACATGCGAGGCAAACACCCTAAGTGCTGTATTATCTCTCCAGTCTCAGAGGGTGAATTTTTAATTCCCTGTTATTTTGGAGTGCAGAACTGGGAAGAGAGAGGTAGTAATGCATGACACATTTGTATAAATGGTGAGCTACGTGCCCAGTATCGTGTTGGGTGCTGTGTATGTGGTTTTCAGTGCACATGATGACCTTGTGGGGTTGCTGTGTTGTAATCCTCCCCATGTTCCAATGCACCTTTAATAGAGAGGGAGATGGAAGTCAGAGACACTCCTGTATACTGCAGCTCCAGCGATGCTACTAACCAGATGAGAAACAGCACCAAGCATGGATTGTGTCCTGCGTCTGTCATGCAGTGTTCCAAATGCTTCAAGCACAGTATCCCCTGTTGTCTGCTCAGCCATTCTAGGAGATTGGTCCTGTTTTTAGATTCATTTTACTGATGAGGAAACCAAGGCCCAGGAATTGCAACCCCTTGTCTGGTGTTGCATGGTTTGTGAGTCAGTGTGGCCTGGCATTCAGAGCCAGTCTGGTTCTAACTCTTCCTGCGGAGAAAAAGAATTCAAGCTCTCAAGAATGAAATAACCCACCAGAACTGAGTAACTCCGCCTAGGCTTCAGGCTTCTGGCCAAGTCTTCTTGGAGCTTGCCCTGCTTTCTCTGAGGTGCAGGCTCTGGGACAGAAACTTCCTATAAGGAGAGCTAAATCCAAATAGGCTGCACTGCTTGGCAGGTGTGTGTGTGTGTGTGTGTGTGTGTGTGAAGACTCAGAAACCAAATAGGCTGCACTGCTTAGCAGGTGTGTGTGTGTGTGTGTGTGTGTGTGTGTGTGTGTGTGTGTGTGTGTGTGAAGACTCAGAAACTTCCCCCTTTCTGGAAACCTTAGAAAGAAAATTTATGTCAGTGAGGTTGGCAAGGAGTAGAGGGGATTCAAGCTTCATATAAAGCCTTGAGCGAGACTCCCCCCTAAGGTTTTGTCCAGCTCTGGGATTTTACGATGCTGTGTTTTCTTCTCATCTTCCCATGTCATCTTGTTTTCCCCTGGGTGTACTCAAATGTACGTGCAAATCTCACTCTGATATTTGAATCTGGCTCTGGGGGTTAGATTGCTTTGGTAAGAGACTCACTTGCTAGGCTATTTGACATGATGCCTTGGGGGAAATGTTAGGTCATTTGAGAAGTCAGCAGTATAAATGGTAAGCAGTAAAGTTGTTAATAAGAGGGAAAAGGGAGCGTGAGAATCTTGCCGTATTCATGAAGAGCAGGTAGATCTACAGGCAATAGTCAGGGTCTCCCTTTGATATGTGTCTACAGGTGAAAACAAAACAAAACAAAACAGAAACAAAAACAAAAACAAAACACCAAAAAGACCAAAGTTTGTCTTTTTTTCAAAGCATTTACCAAATCCCACATTTGGAAATGCCAGTTTCCCTGGGGTTGTCTCGGCTTTAATTATATCCATTGCACGTTGCCTACTCTTACAGACATCTTATTTTTAACCCAGAAATGTCTTTGGCTGGTAAATGTCTTCTTGCTGTGACACCCAGCCCCCGGGGATATTCTTCATGGAATCCCAAAGTGAGTTTTAGACACAGCCTTGGCTTCTGAACTTCCTGCCTCTGGGTAACTAAGGGCATCACTGGCTCGGAGATGAATGATACATGTATAAATTCTGCTCTTGCCTCTTGATACCTACCTCCCCTTGAATCATTCCTCCACAGTCTCCCAGATGCCTGCAACTTGTAACCCTTGTAAGACTGACATTGGTGGCATTACTGGGTGAGCCTTCTGGCTACACAGTGATCCTGTGTACTCCATTTGTTTTATTTCAGCTCAAAGCCAAGCAAATGTGTTTTCTTTTTGTTTGTTTTTGTTTGGGGCCACATCCAGCCAGATCCAGCAGTGTCCTGGTCTACTTCTGGCAGCAATTATGTGGACTGGGAAGTGCCGTGCCAGGGTTTGAACTTGGGCCTCCATCACACAAAGCATGTGCCCAGCCTGTTGTTTCCCTGTATTGAAAAGATGCACTTTCTCCGTTTTCATCGTTTTCTCTGTTTCTCCATTATTTGGCCCTGATTCTGTTGTAAATTTTGCTGTCTAAAATTATTTGTCTGGAGCAGTCAGGTGGGTGGGGAAGGCCGTGTAATAGAGGAAGAATTTGGTATTCCAATAGTTTAAGAAAGATATGGTGTAATGAGAAGCAAATTATGTATTGTTTGATGATTTTGCTTTTCCAAATTGAGTACATTCATAGAATCAGAGACTTTATGGGTAATAAATTTAAAATGATGGTGATTATGACATCTTTGCTGCTGAATTTGCATACACTTATGGAGGATTTTGATGTATGTGCCTGTAACTTATCTGAGTTACGAAAAGAAAGAAATAGGGTTGTGTTCACATTACCATTAGGATGTTATGCATGAATGTGTGTGTGTGTGTGTGTGTGTGTGTGTGTGTGTGTAGGATGTAAGTATGTATATAATGTATATATCATATATACATAGAATATTGTTGATGCTTCTGGTTTAAAATTTTTTAAACAAATATTATGGAATTATGGAGTCATAGCACAGCGGGTAGGGCGTTCGCCTTACAAGCGGCCAACATGGCCGACCCAAGTTCGATTCCTCTGCCCCTCTCGGAGAGCCCGGCAAACTACCGAGAGTATTCGATATGCCAAACACAGTAACAACAAAGTCTCCAATGGAGACGTTACTGGGCCCACTCGAGCAAATCGACGATCAACGGGAGGGCCTTTACCTTTACCTAAATAAATATTGGTTAAGTATAAATGTGCACATTCCATTTCCAGTTAGGCTCTTATCTTTAGGAGTAGAAATAGAGTATTACATATCATTGCAGCAGGAAATAGTCATTTCTTCTTTGGGAAGCTACTTTTAGAAGGCAGGAGATATTGAACAGATTGGAACAATGGAGAGTGAATGTAGTATTGTCTCAGTTATGGACAATAAGACCCCAGACATGTGTGTGTGTGTGTGTGTGTTTGTGTAAAAACATTGAATATAATTAGGAAGGTCTCTAGGTTACTGCTGTGATATTAGTGGATTGGTGATGTTTTTGCATTGTAACAGCAATTTTAATTTTTAGTGTTGACAGAAAAATTTTCTTTAATTTTTGGTAGAACTCTAACTTTCTTTTGGGGTTTTCAGAAAGACTCAATGCATTGAACATCTTTGAGAATTTCTTTCCCTCCTTCTCTTCTTCCACCTCCCCATTTTTCTTGTTCTCTTTTGCTGATAAAGGTAAAATGAAATGAGAAACTATTGTATGAGAGACTATCTAAATTGCATATTGATATCTGTTTCCAACTCTATAATTGCCATTGTTAAAACAGAGTGTTTCGTTTTTAAAAAATAATGTGAAAAAGATGAAACAAAGCCCGTAGAGGCAGTATGTTTAGGGAATCTTTGGTTTAGTGGGCTAAAACAGAAGGGCTGCATGTTAACTAACAAGGGTGGGACTGTGATATGAAATATTGTCCTTTATTTAATGTTTCACAGTCTTTATCTCTGCATTGAATATTTGCTTCTCTTGTGACCTTCTCTTTGCATTTCTAACTGCTTATTCTCACCCATAATCTGAAATCTGTGTATATTTCTACAGAGAAATTAAAGGAGGCTGTCAGTGTAGAGTTAATATAGTTAAAGCATTCTGCTACAAACCCTTTAAATAATTAAAACTGTATGCTTGAAGAGTCAGATTTGCATTTCTTTACCAAGTTTATTTAGCACACTTTGTTACACTCAATTAAATGAGAATGTTCTGTTTCATTTTCTTTACTTCGGGTGGATCATTTTGCCTTTTGATTCTTATGCCCTTCTGTAATTTCACAGTGCTTAGGTCTCTAAAACTATACATATATTAATGCATATGTAGATCTATACATACCCATTAAAAGGCTTACTGTTTGTACTGGATAGCATCTTTGCCTTGGGCATTTGAGCATTTCTAGTAACCCAAGGAATAACTGGTATTGCAGATAATTTATTATAGTAAAGAAGGAGCTTGGCAAAATTCTTTTAACATCTAGTCTTTTTGGTTTGTTTTGTTTTGTTTTTAAATTCCTGCAAGTTTGGCCTTTCCTTCTTTCCCCACAAATTGACTTGTGATTTTTTTAGCAAAAAATAGAAGATACAGGTGTTGAATGGTTGTGAGAAGAAAATTAAATATAAGTGCTATTTCTCTCTCCATCTCCATTGGCAAAGCATGTGCAGACTATTCTTCATAAATTAGTTCGTTGCTTAAGTTATGCATGTTTAAGAAGGAATAAATTAGTTATCCATTTCCTAATGAGTAGTGGGATCAATTGGAGCATGATGAGAGAGAAAATAGCATAATTTTGTTTCCCCAGTTGAGGCTCAATATCCCTAAACTTCACCATTAATCACTCTGTCTGCTTCCTGGGTTATTTCTGACTGTACCTGTAAGCTTTTCTTTTTTTTATTTTAATTTTCCTCCCAGGTAAGTAAGACTTTTTGGATTTGCCTAGTGGGATTGAGGTTGGAGGATAGGATCTCCTCTCCACCCTGAAGTGTCTTGTTACAACTTCTGCCGTTGCCTCAGTTTGGGTGAATTCACGGATAACAGTCGATATGTTTGTGCGATGACAAATATGGGAGTTCTAATATGTTTAACTGTTATGGGATCTGTTATGTCTACTTTAGGGTCGACCCCATCCCATATGACACTCCAAAACCAGCGGGCCACACGCGGTTTGTCTGCATCTCAGACACACACTCCAGAACAGATGGTATCCAGATGCCTTATGGGGACATCCTTCTCCACACAGGCGATTTCACCGAGCTGGGACTGCCCTCAGAGGTTAAGAAGTTTAATGACTGGTTAGGTAAGGAATGATTGCGTTCTGGTGCCCCCAATTAACCTTTCCTGTCCGAGTGTCACTCACTGCGTCCTAATTGAATTAGAGCACTTGGAAGCCAGCTCAGCCATTTCTCGTATGATATGCGGTGGTGTCTAGCTTTAATCCAATTCTGTTAATTAAAGATGAATTTTTAGATATTTAATTTTACTGTGCATCCTTTCAGTGCCTGGCCTCGGCTGCGCTGGGGCACAGGGATGGAAGGAAAGCTTTGAAACCGATCTCATCTAACTCATTCTGCTTTAATGAGGCCATTCATTGGCACACATGAGACTTAGAATCATATTTTTAATTCATTGGTTCTGCAATCTTTCCCAGATACAATGAGCAAAGATGTGCAACTGACCTACCAGTAGGAGAACATTTCTAATAAGTAGCATGATGGCATCCTTTTGTGAAGGTCTCGCACAATGCTACTTGGGAATAGCTCTCCTTGGTGACCCAGAGGGAGGGTTCTGCCACCCCCGAAAAGATAAAGCTGTCCTGCTCTAAGTACTACCGATCCTTGGACCATGAAACTGTCCTGTACATGGCAGAAGACATAAAGGCAACTTCATGGTTACTTAGAGGCATCCAAGGCAGAATCTGGATTATAGAAAAAGATTGACTCTTGGGTCAGGCAGTTGCCAGATGTTAGCATTACAAGGCAATCATCATGGAGTTAATTTAAAGCTAGAGAAGATGCCAGATATTTTATTTTATTATATTTTTATTATTTTTTTTGATGCCAGATCTTTTTTTTTAATGTAGGAGTACTGCTATTCATTCAGCCACTGATTAGGCTGATTGAATTGGATGCCAGATCTTTTAAAGAATCTTTTTTGTTAGGAAAGATGAAGACATTCTGATATTTTTGGAATTTTGTCCCCTGCATTTTGGGGTCTCCTAAACTTGACTGGGGCTGGGTTTGGGTTGCCCTACAGCTACTCCTGGTGATACTCAGCCAACCAGGACAGCTATTCAGTGTAAGGGTCAAAGGATATAATGCTGCTCAACCCTGCAGTGCCAGAGACCACCAGGACCACAGCAAGTGGGGTGCTTGGAGGCCTTCAGGACCATTTCCTGTGATGCTCAGGAGACCATGTGATGTGGGAGGAGAGAACCTGGATCAGGTGTATGCTTTGCAAGAGCCCTAATTCCTATACTATATCCTCATTTTCATGAGTTGGGAACTTTAAAGGCACTGAAGAATTGTATAGTAAAGAGCAGAAATCACTCCACAAAAATAATGTCATGAAGGGATCAGCCAACAACAATTACTTGGGAGATTGAGGCAGAAACTTTAAAATTCATTTATTATACCAAAGCAGAGTTTGAGGAAAATGTAAATTGGTATAATAATAATTTAAAAGAAATTGATTAAATGACAAATACATTCCATATGAAAATGTGGCATTCATTAAAACTCTTAATATATTTGAAAAATAAGAGAGAGGGGCTAAAGAGATATAGTATAGAGGTTAAGGCCCTTAGCTTGCAATCTGATGACCCTGGTTCAATCTCTGGCACTGTTTATCATCCCCAGAGCACCACCAGAGGTACTCCTGAGCACTGCCAGGTGTGGTCTACAACAGATCTCCTCACCCAAATTGAAAAGAAATATGGGAATAAGGAAGATGCCTGGTAACGGAATTGTTCTGAGTTTTTTGTGGCCTTGCATCTTTATCCACATTGTATTAATTTGACAGCATAGTGCATACCAATCTGCTTTGGGGCATTTTCATTTAATAGCATTGGTAAACTTTTAGGCAATTTCGCATAATTTTCATTTAATCTTTTTTTAATAGCAATTCAACATTGTATTATTCTATGCTTTTAATATGACAACTCTCAACAAAATAATTCTTATATACATTGATACCAGTTTTTTTCTATGACAACTAGCACAAGAATTTGCAATTTTATTTGTATATGACTTTTTGCTTTCATTGACTTATTTCTTTCTTGTGGTAAAATACTGTGTATGGATTAAATTACTAAATTGATGGTTTTGAATTACTTTATGGTTCTTGCTGTATTTTGGCATTTTGTTTTCGACGGAGGTTATAGTTGTGTATTTTATTAATAGTGAATGCCAGTTTAATTACGATCTTCTTTCCCTTGGTCACTGCAGCACTCATATATCCTATTGTTTTAGTAGATATTTAGGCAACTCATTAAAAATAGTAAAAGAGGCAAACATTCACCATGCTTTCATTTTTGCAAAGGACTCAGATATGGAGAAATTCTGTGAGTTTCTTAGAGTCAGGGTTATTATCCAAGTCTTCATTTTTACCTTTGTCAAAGTACATACAAGGATGACTGTTTCATTTTAGCAGCATTCATTTATGAACTTTTAGGCAAATCTATAGTTGAATTTTGATGGTTTTATTTTTATCGAAAAAGGTAAAAAAATTTTGTTAGTTTAGGTGAAATAGTTATAGTAGTGTTAACATTTATGAATTTTATATACAAAGTTACTGTATATTCCTCTCTACCAAATTTCACCATTGTCCTTATGAAATTTTTACAGTTTTACACCATTTTTTGACAACTGTATCTGTATAGAAATGATTTACTTACACTGGCAGTGTTGATTTATAAAGAAAGAAAGCAGTCTATACGGTACCAAGAGTTTAAGGAAATACAAGAAAGGACCAATCCTGGTCCTAATCTTGTTGTGCCACTGACCTGGGGCAACCAAGTCAACCTCTTTTCCCCTTTGTTTGCTTCTAAAGAATTGAGGATTAATATTCCCTGTCTTTCTGGATTGTCCTGCAGATTAATCAGAAAATGATTGCTGTTAGTAGGATTTTGTGGGCTATTAATAACTGAATGGGGAATATGGTGAATGAACCATCAACAGTTATTAAAAGGGAAAAACAAGAGGAGGTAAGAAGAATTATTTAGTAGATTAGAAGTAAACACTGGGAGGTTTGATAAGGGAATGTGCTCTATAAATGAAAATGTGCCGTAACCAAGGAAATAAAATGATAAGGAAAATAAAATGTTCTGGTTCAGTTGCACGGTAAGTTTCTTCTCTTTCCACTTCCCCTGTGATCTTCTGAGAGAAGAGGATGAAATCTCAGCAGGGAGCACATAATAGGAGGCTGAAGTGAGCTCAGGGATCAGGGTAGAGACATTGTTGTCCCTAAAGGCAAGATCCAGAATTGCTTTGTTACCAGGGCAACCTCCTGTTGCTCAGAGTGAAGAGATTACACTGGACTACTTGGCTCAATCAGGACTCGAACCTGAAAAAAAGGAATCTGAGCAACAGCTGTCAGGGGGCCTAGCAGGTGAGGGTCAGGTGTTAGCTCAGTCTAGGGCTTTTGGCCATAATAGGATATCTGCCTCTCACAGGTTCTCACAGATTTGATAGACACATAAGAATCCAGTGACCCTCTAATTGATTTCCATCTTCTTCCTACTCTAGTTTAGACTTCCCAGTGATGGGAACTGACCTCACTATTCTCCAAGTTCATTTCTACTTTATATTTCTACGACCAGCCTGATATTCTTCCATTTATAATATCTATTGCAGGGTGCTAATGTTTATAGGTGAATAACATGAAATTCACGTGGGTTCAGTTACCCAAGATCACTTAGCAGAAAAGAAAATGTAGAAAGGGGTAGGGATGTGACTCAAGTGGGAGAGCACATGGTTTCCAACTGCAAGGCCAGCACCATGTGATTACTGCACACAAGTATCACTGGACATTGCCCTGGTGGCCCCTGAGGGTCACTGCCAAAGTGCGCAGCTTAACGACAGAATTTAGAAAGGATTAGTAATCCATCTCCGTTTGCTTGGCTGTTACGTGTGTCATTGTCTGACCCTTCAATATTGGCCCCTTTCCTTTACCTTTCTGTGACAACCTATGTCACAGAAAGTCTATAGCAGTGGGGAAGTCACACAGTTTAGGTTTGAACTAAAACTGTATATCTGATTGCTTCATGTGCATTAGTTAACCATTAGGCCAGGTAATATATAAGAAAAATGTATTTAAGCCTTGCTTATCCTGACTCTCTCCCTGACCCGTCAGCAGAGGGGCCTGAGAATTCATCATGAGTTCCCAGTTGGTTCAAAGATAGGGTCGCTACGTTTTTGTCTGTCAGTATGTCTAACCTGTGTCCTGGTAAGTAACATATGATGTCAGCTTGCTTAGCACATGGATATATACAGAGTCATTAGGTACAGAGGTTAGAAAGTAACATTTAATGATCACTAGCTTTTGGGAAGACCCAGCTTTGAATTCACAAACTCCAGTAAATTCCTGAAACTCCAGAGCTTTGGTTGCCTCATTCATGAAAAATAATTAATAATAATAGCAAAAGTATTCATTGTAGAAATGAAATAACAGCAATAATAATCATCAGAATAATGTTTCATGATTATTAAAAGAATACATTCTCTTAAAAGCTGTACTGTTCTTAATATAATCCCTGTCCAAGAAACATCTTGTAGTGACAATTGTAGAGGGAGACATTGAACCAGCAGCATAGAATCACAAAGACAGAAAGTAGAAGGGACTAACACTATTAATTAAACTTAGTGTGAAAATGGGACTGCAAGAAAGTAAGTTTGGCGGCTGAAAATAAGCCTTCCTATAAACAACCACATCAGTAAGAGAGAATGTTACAGTGAAAAGATTAGAGGTTTTACCTCTTCATCTAATACAGAGATACATGGGGAAATTGAGGCTGGAGACATTGAGTTTCCCAGGGTCACTTAGATAAGAAATGATCACATTGGAATAAAACTTAGGTGGGTACGGTCGAACTAACATGTTGCCTGCAGTGTGTTGAGACCAGAGATTTTCACACCGATTGGGCCTGAGACTCCCTTTTCAGAAAAAGAAATGGCTCAGTATCCTCACAGAAATCTGCATTCTTTAGTGAACAAGCAGAAAGTGCTCCAAGATTACTGTCACCCCCGGATTGTTCCAGTGCTGCTAGAGGACTGAGTTGCCCACATTGGGAAAGCCTGGTAT